TACCATTTGTATTTCCTCTTTTGTATATTGTCCATAATTTTTTGGTTATTTGCCCATTAGAGATGAGATGTTTGTTTTTCTCTCAGATAATAGAGAAAAAGCAGACCATTTGAGGCTGTTGCTCAGATTTCCACTGGACTTGATAATGTCTTTTTCCTTTGCAGCAAGTATCATTTTAGTCATTTGGGTCCTTGCTCTTGCTTTCTGGTGGGTTGTTTTTCCCTGTAACAACAAGGACTGTCTTATGGATAAGGGTTGGGAAAGGCAAGGGGAGAGGTCCAGGTCAGGGTTTGTGGGTATGGATTTAAAGATAAGGAATAAAAACAGAAAATTAGCTAAGCTGCTCCACCCCCACCCCCATTTTTTATAGTCACAGTGGAATAAGCTCAGTCTTTTCCTCTGTTTTGTTTTGTTTTGTTTTTAAGAATACAAAAGCCAGAAAATCTTATGTGTTTTCTTTCCTCTAGGATTTCTCTAGCCAAGTCTTGAATGTCGGTGTCAACCTCCCACTTGGGGGAAAAAAATCCAATCAAATCCCAGCATGACCTATGAGCCAGTGGATCCAGCAGGAGCACACTAGGGCACCAAGAGAGCACACTGCACTAAAACGTGTCCCTAATGAATTGAGTGATCTCCATAGAGATTATACCTAATATTTATGTATGTATGTATATATATATATATATATATGTATGTACAGTATTTTTTTAAAAGAGAGACTCTCCCTTTATCCCACTGACACTCCTTTGGTACTCCTTGGCTGCAGAACCTTTCCTTCCCCACTTTGCCTAGAAGACCTGGGGAATGCCACGGCTGCCCCAGTGGGGACAAACAGAGCTCCTCCTCATGGAGTCTTGGTCTCAAGCAGGTGGCTGCACTTGAGTGGCTTTCCTGTGTCTGTTAACTTTTTATCTGACATGTTCATAAGGAACTCTGCAAATAAAAGATTGGTGTGGAAGAGTCCCTGACTGCTGTGTGTGGGTTAGGGAGGAGGGGAAGGGTCGTGGCCCAGACTGGTTGTTGTAATTAGTGGGAGGGTCTGTTAAATGCACTAAGGTAGTGTCCAAAAACACATATCCCAGTCAGAAGAAAGCAGTGCTCCCATTTGAGATGGCGCCATCTTTTTTCTTTTTTTTTTGGCACAAGACTATGACAGTGGCCAATATTTACATAGATCTTTAAAGCTTGAAAAGCACTTTACATAAATTTATCTCAACTGAGTTTCACGACATCTTGAAGCAGGTACCACAAGGGAGGTCTGGTGATTTGCCACTGAGTTTGGACCCAGATCTTCTGACTCCAGGCCCGCCACTGTACACCGTGCCATATTGCCTTTTGGCAGTTCACATAAGAAACAATTGATTCTGTCTGTGACCTCAAAGTGAATATGAAAAATCCCTGATGAAAACCTAGTTCCAGAGCAGAAGAGGTGATAATCTTCACGTTGGATCCCACAGACCTCATGGGCAGACCTCATTGAGTAGGTCCTGTGCAGTGCTGGGGACCCCATTTTGAGGAAGGACGTTGGCAAGAGAGCAACCAGAGTAGGAAGGAGGTTAGGGCCCATGTAATGAAAATGAATATATATGAATATTAATATAAAATAAATATAATATAAAAAGGGAAGACTTAAGGCAAAGCTTCACAGCTGCTGTTAGAGGATCGCATGGCTTTTCTTTTATCTTCAAGATGAGCTAGACTTGTTTTATTCGGCCATAGAGGAGAGAACAGGGACCAGTGGGAAAACGTTCCAATGATGCAGGTTTATTTTTTACTTTAGGAGGGAAAGTGAGTATAGAGTTGAAGTTGTTCAAAAGCTGCCTTGAGAAAAAGGGAACTCCCCAGTGCTGTCCATTTTGGGGGGGTATTACAGAGGAGATTCCTGCTGAGGGATTCCTTGGGCTGAGTGGTCTCCCAATCCTGAAATTTAATGAGACCCTGTAGTATGGATGCTAAAGATAGCCAGTGTTTTCTTTCCTTGTTCTCAGGACTGGGGGGATTAAAGCAAGCTGTGGTCTTTCCTTGCGTGTGAGGGAGACAGGCTTGTCTTTGCCTTGTCAGAAGGAAACTGAGGCCCACAGAGGGAAGTGACCTGGCCAAGGTCACGTATTGGGGCCACGAATTGGGGCACCCAGACTAAGAACCCAGGTTTCTCAATTCTACTGTGGAAAGAAACC